TACGACCACACATTGCACACAAGCACTACTTGGAAAGCGTGCCTCAGGATCCCAATCTGGTAACAACAACGGACGCTTCCCTCTGCGATGCTAAAACTATTGGGGATAATTCCTAGCCCTCCACTTGAAAGAGGTTTCCTGGCTGGGACTAGTAAAAGGTTAGAATTGGGGCATGACAGTAGAGCTCTGTGAAGAAACTCTTGCCTTCACTTTTATCAGCATCTGGAAATGCTGTTTGGCTTGCTGGTCATTTTAAATTTCATTTTTTAAAACAAAATTAAAAATTCCCCTAGTATGGCTCCTCTCCTTTCCACCAAAAAGATGAATAATTAGTGTCTTGTGCTTATCTGTGTGAGAGTATAGTGGAAAGTGGAAGAATGACTTATCCTAGCTTCAGAGAAGGACTGGCAAAACCAAACGTGTGACTTGTTTGAAAGTCTTACTCTCAAGTGGGGTTAAATGAATTATTCCACGCTCTACTGTTGTATATTTCAATTATGTTTTGCTTTTTCATGGCCATGTTATCTTCCCCCCTCCTCATTTTTTAGAAGTGTTTTGGAGTTTGTGATCAATTCATGGAGTGTTTTTAAGATTGATTCCCCCCTCTGCCTTTCAGAAAGCCTGTTTTATAGCTACAAGTGGTAGAATTTTCTATCTGTTATAAACATAAGGCCAGCATTGTAACCACTTACTAGTAGTATATAACCCCTTCTTCCATGAAGGGTTAGCAGTGCATCTGGTAGTAAGTGTTCGCAAGCCTAAAACCATAAATTCTTGACAGATTTGTGGATTGGTGGGAGCTCTAAACCCTCTTTAATAGGATTATAGCAGCATCTTGATTATTTTTTTTTTAAGTGTAAATAAAAATCACCTAAAACTTTCAACATCTCTAACTCTGGAATAAACCATGCTCCCTACCTTCCAGGCAGACTTCTCTGCATGTTTGGGGACCAGCAGCTGTAAGATTGATGTCAGTTATGTATAGTGTTACACATTTTGTTTTTATTGAAGTCTGTCTCTTCCATCATCGTCATCATCACTGCCTATTTTACCGTATATATCCTATTTTGCCGTAAATCACATAAACTGTGTCCTTTGTATATGGCAATGTTTACCTCTGTGAGAATCTGCGCTTTTATGGGTACGGATGGGAAGAAACCAGTTCAGAGTCTGCAGCGAAGCCTAGAGCAGCAGCAGCTCTCTATGCTCTTCCACCATTTCAGCAGTGGAGAATACACATGCTCATTTATTTAGCAATATGTACTTAAGGACATTTTTTTAAATCCTTCTGTTCTTTCTTGATCATCTTTTCTTTCCGTTGGGCTCTGCCTCGCTCCCTCCTTTGTTCACCATTGCAGGTGTAGCTGTGCATGCTCTTCAGAGGAGACCTTGTTAAGCCCAATGAGGTACTGCTGCTTAAACACATTTTCCCTTTCTTTTGGGCATAGTCTGGCCTGAGACTGTCAGACCATAGGCTTGAGGTAGTTCCTCAACACTGTGCAGTATCGTCTTCTTGGGTGTTCAAAAGGGAGTATAGGCTCAACTGAGGTTTCGGGAATGCTCATTCTGCGCAGTGACTGTGCCACCGACAGATGGGCATGTACAAAGCCTTCAGTGTTTAGGACCTTTTACTTTTGTCCTCACCGTGTGAGCACTGAGAAGTCCTTTCTTCTTAAGCTAAAAAGGACAGGATGAGAAAGCCGGCGCTTTCCCAGCGGCTTGATGCTGTACCCCCAAGTGACCTTCAGGGGGAACCTTCCTGCCTGAGCAGAGCGTGGTACCTTGGCATCACACGATTGCATCATCCACAGGATTTATTTATTTCTCCTCTCCTGGTCCTTTCAGAGTTCCCCTCCTCCTCGGCATTTCATCGGGTCTCAAGCCCTTCATGCATCTAGAAGGGGAGTGCGTTTGGGCTGCTTGAAATGGTTAAATTTTTAGGCATCTCACATCAGGCACGAGGAAGAGGCCAGCTGTAGCCCAGGTCTTCAGAAACAGGAGCAGTACATGCAAGAAACACAGCTTTCAACCTGCTCTTAAATAAGAGAAGAGGATTCAGGGAATCCCTTGTGGCTTGTTGGTGTCACAAGGCACATTTGCTTTTCCTGAGATCTAATATAAGATGTTAAGCAGCGCTGAGTGCTGGACTCAGAAGTATGTAAGGGTCTAGTCACCTCGCCTGCCGCTTGCCTAGAAAATTAGTACCAAAGAACTCTGCAGTCCTGTCAAAACCCATGTTGGTTTGGCTCTGTAGAGGGAGCTGCCAAAACAGTTAGCAAATATTTACATTCACTTTTACTTGCAGGCTAAGAATTAGTATAGTACGATGATGGAAAATGTTACAGACCATCTGCTCAAGTCTTAGGAGGACAATCGGAGGCAAAGGCAAGACGGTGTCTTCTGCAGAGCACTTGAAAAACTGCTGCCATAATTCTTTTCTTAAGTCCATGTATTAATTTAGCTACGTAATCAAATATCTTCTCGTAGCACAGAAATTGAACAAGGAAGCCAGGTGACTCTTCTCCCTATTTCCTTTGAAAAGGGTGTAAAAGAAGTTAGTGGGACCTCTGTCAGTTCTTTGTTAGGAACAGTTTTCAAAGCTTGTGTTGAAAAGGAACCAGAAATTCCTGGTCCCTGGCTGACATTCCTGTATATTGGCCATTTTTAACAGGTTGCTCCCTAAAGGATTTATAGTACTTTAATACCTGGCTTAAAGAGTTTGTAAAGGGCAGGTGGCTCCTGACCTCCGTTCTGGCTGGCCCTTGTGTGAAGAAGTTATAAGGTCTCAGATTGGTGTAGCCCTTGAATTCCCAAATGTACTGCAAAAATTAAGCAAATTTGCCACAAGATGCAGTCTGTTAATTATGCAAGTGGCCTCCCTGAGATTAAATAAAAATCAGGCTTATGGTCCTGAGACAATTGTCTGGTTTTGGTTACGTTGTTATAAAGCTGGAAAAAATTCACTGACTTTCACAGAGTTGCTGTCAATCTAGATCAATATACGTGGAGCAGTCTGAGCCCCTTGTATCTTTATGTGATATGTGGACTTCAAGATACCATGTTTTTCCCTGTTTTTTTCTCAGGGAGCTTTAGGAGCAATGCTTGTCTATCTTGTCTTCCTGTCATGTTAGAATGGTGGTTGCTGTAGCAATTGACTCAGAGCAACAACTTTCCATATCCCCCAAAATGACCTCAGAGGTGTTGAAAGTGATTTCTCAGCAGCATCCAGGCCACAAGATTATGTGCACGTTGTTTAAAAATCCTTGAAAATTGACGGTGCACACAGCTTTTTCCATCGCCAGAAAGCTCTTGTGAACAAGACTGTGCTTGTCGTAGCCTGGACAGCAGGGTGGCAGTTTGTAACCCTGAGCAAGCAAGGGGGAATGAGTACAGAAGCCCTGTGCCAGAAAGCCAGCTTTTTGGGCGGAAAAATATGACAACAACAAATCAAAATCCAACATTCATGTTGGGGGAATTTTTTACCAATACATTCCAGGGAACGTATCATAGTGAGCGTCCCAATTGTTATAGTGGATGTCCCAAGCTGAAGCCCGATCTTAACCATTTAGCTGGGAGCCAGACCAACCTACTGAGAAAGATGTCCACCATGTGGGAGAACCTCTTGGCTTCCCCACAGATATGTCCAGCCGTTCAAAAGTGCTGTGAGATTTCTTTTTCCAAGACATGTTTGTTCTCTTTTGACCACAAGGGACTGCTGGCCTGGTGTCTTTTCACCAACTTCTCTTAGTACCGTATCTTCAAAAGCAGGGATCTCTGTGCTGTTAGTAGTTGACATTGCTGGCCCAAAAGTGATTGCTTTTAGCATCTGGGGAGCTGTGAAAATGAAATTACTCTGTCCCCTTGCACCGGCCTTTTTGTGCTGCTCTGCAAACCCTGTAGCGCAGTGTTAGAAAAGTTTTCTTAAAAAATCACTTTTCTCTTTTGAGCCATGCTTATTACTTTATAACTCTTTTGGAAAACGATCACTGGGTTTCCACAGAAGTCGGGCTCCTGGTCATGTCCTCTCCCACACTGCTGAAGGGAAATGGAGAAAGGGCCTTTCTCCCTCCAGTCAGAAACCGTAACAAATTGCATCATCTTGTGGGACAGTATTTGGGAAAGTGATGCAATTTAGCAAAACGTTACTGGTGATTTTCTCTTGTGATAGAGCAAAATGTGGGAAGTGTCTTAGTTATATCTGGATTTTTTTTCTCTTACTGGCTTTGCTTCCTAGGTTGTCAGTGCACTTATAAACCTGGGTAGGTTTTGCTCATTACTGTGGCTTCCTCATCTGCTTTAACAGTCAGTTTTGGGTGCTGAGGAACTCCAGGGGCTCAATCTGACCTCACTCATGGACTCTCTCACCTTGAATCTCTGCTGTTGCCCCTTCTTCCCCTTGCCACCCCACAGAAACATGACCAGGAATGATTTTTTTGAAGCAGGAGTGTACAAGTGTCAATGTTTCTGTTGTGATGATAATCTTATCTCAAAAGAAGCATCTTGCAAGTCATTCTGCCCCCTCCCCAGCTGCTTATGGCTTTGGTGGGTGTTCGTGTTGGGGGGGAGGGAGGGGGGCCTGCAGCCAGGCTGTCTGAAAAGGCAGGGGGAGGGCAGGCAGAGCCATCCCTGGGGTGCGAGCATCCCCTTGGGGCCCCCCACGCCTCCCTGCACCGGGATCGAGCTGGCACTGTACTTCGGTGTCCTCCCTGGGGAGCTTCCCCCACCAGCCGCAGCCCCATCGCTCAGTGCTGTCTTGCAAGGAGACATGTTTTGGAGGTTTTTTTAATCCTTCTCGTTTGTGTATGTTTCCTGCAGGGAAAGAAGAAGAAGAGGAAAAGGGATAAGCAGCCAGGAGAGACCAATGGTAAGTAAAAATAAGTCTAAATCTCTTGCTTAGTGGAAGTGTGTGGCAATCCTGCTGTGACACTCCTAGGTACGGGGGAGGTGGGTACGAGTCTCCTGGCCTCACGGGGAGCCGGTCCCTATACTAGGCAGCCTTTTTTTTTTAATGCACTCTAATTATTTACACGTTATTGCCCTTCTAAAACTAGTAACCAAGCCATTGCATGTAAGAGCCTCTTGTGACGTTAGTTGAATTTGTACGTAATAATTGCAAAGCCTTTAACTGCAGAGCCGTAGTTGTAATGCCTATGCCATCGTTTATAAAGTTGTCTGCTTATTTTACGCATATGTGTGTGCGTGTACGTACGTATGTATGTGTTTGGTATTAATTTGGGCTGTACCTGTATGTTCTGATGCATGCCTTACAGTGGTAAATCGCACCCATTTTAAATTAAGGAGGTTTGCCATTCTATATAGGAAATTAGAAATACTGCATAGGCAATCTCATAGTCAATTTTGAAGAAGCCCTGACTTAGTTTTTTTGAAGCCTTTGTATAATTTGTTCTTTTTTTTCAGAACACAGCGAATGTTTCCTAAATCCTTGCCTTTCACTTCCTCCGATTACAGGTGCTAACGTCATTTTGAGTCATTTAAAATAGTTTATAAACTGCTTTTTAATTTTTTTTTCCTGCCATTATAGATTTTAACATTAAACACGTATGACATTAAGAAAAAAATACCATCCACACGTTTTGATAGTATTTATTATCTATATATCTTTATATCTATTATATGTTTGATAGTATTTTTTAATTTTGTTTTTCGTTTTTGTAACAATTGCTATTAAAACAGTAATACAGTAAAAATAACACAAGAGTTGTACTAACTGTGCAAATTGAATATGCAGTATTTCTTTAAAGAGACTGATAAAGAATGGAAGCAAGTCAGTAATGAACCTCCTTAATCTAATGGCATTTTTCATGGCTCCCACTAAGTCTTCTCACATTAGCATGCATTTGCATTTTTTATTATTATTTTAGTTTTGGATTTTTTTTTTTCCTTTCTGCTCAAGCCTATTCATTGCAATTCACTAGCTGTACTAACTCAGCACCTTGCCATGCTTTTCGTTTTATTTTCTGGCTGATACTAATATACTCATTCCGCAATCTGCTTATTCTTATCCATTCTTTTAAATACAAGTTAATAAAAACAAATAAATTGAATGGTATTCCAAAAGCTGCATTATCCCAGGAGATATAATTTCCTTTTTTTTTTTTTTCTCTCTTATTTTTATTTTGTATCTGAGTTGAAGAAAAAAGCATGTTCAGGATCTAACTTCCATACTCAGCTTCTTTTCTTCCTTTTTTCCCCCCTCTCAAAAAAGAGAATAAAAAAAATCCAGCCCAAATAAATCTTGCCTGAAACATCCTGCTAGACCAGCCACAATGACTTTCCTCTACCTGCTCTTTTAAAAGGGAAAGAAACAGTCCTTTATAAAGGGATACTGCAGCTTTAATTGCAACAGCTAATCTCAAGAGTTGAATAAAAATGTGATTATCACTTTTTTTTAACTTTTAAATCAAAAGTCAATATTTTGCAATTAATAACAAGGACATTGATTTTTATTCCCTTTTTTATTTTTATTTTTTTCCTTATTTTTATCTTTCTCTTTTTTCTCCCCTTTTCTCTCTTTCTCTCTCTCTCTCTCTCTCCCCCCCTCTCCCCTTTTCTTTTTTTCCTCTCTCCCTTTTCTGCTCGCTTTTCTTGAACTCATTCAGACCTGAGCGCTCCTAAGAAATGCCGAGCGCGCTTTGGCCTTGATCAACAGAATAACTGGTGCGGCCCCTGCAGGTGTGTATAGTTTTCCCAGACTCGCTATGGCTGATTTGCAGCTGGTTTATTTGGTACTTTCCCCTTTTTTTTCCTGCCTTGTTGCTTTGTAGCTCTGTGTTGTGATCTAGAAGACACAAGGGAGTGGGATACTGCCATGAGTTATCATCTCTCTGAAAGGGTTTTGCTTTTTTTTTTCGTTGTTGGTCTTTTTTTTGCCTTCCTCTTTGCACCTACTAGCCAAAAACCCACTGTAAAACAGCATCAGCCTTTAAGCCCATCTGATCCGTGGCTCAACCACGCTTCTGCCCTCCAAGCCTCCACCCAAGGAAAGTCGCTCCCAAAGCCCTTGATAACACGGCATTGAGCACAATACTGACACCGGACAGACGCATGGCCGTGTCGGAGATTTTTCTTGGTTTTCTTTTGGCTTACTGTGAAAGTCCTGTTTTCTTTCCTGCCCTTGGTACGAGGGGAGATTACCAAATAAAACTAAGGTGATTGAAAGCTAAATGTAGCTGTAGCTAAGATGACGCAGTCCAAATGAGCTCTATCCACCATTGTGTTGTATTTTTTGTGTTTACCTTATGCTAACAGATGCAAATACTCCAAAGAAGTGTCGGGCATTGTTCGGGCTTGACCGACAGAGTTTATGGTGCAAACCGTGCAGGTATAATACTACCCATTAGGCCTTTGGGGAAATAAAAGCAATCTGTCCTCTTAGTGCATTTGTGTGATTTTATTTTTTTAATCTTTTTTCCCCCACTCCCCACCTTTCTCTCTCCCACAGCATCAATTGCTAATAATCTTTGATCTTTGGAATTTCCTGCTAATTTAATGCCATTTTCTCTCTTTCTTTACCAATAACCTCTCCCTGGTGGTAGAACTGGGAACGAGAAAACTTCAAGTCCTTAAAGCTGGCAGTTTTTTGGCTTTTTTATTATTTTTTCCAGATTGTCAGCAAAATGAATGTTTAGCTGGACATTAATATTTTGTCTTTCATTTGGGTCTATGTCCGCTGCCTCCAAAGGCTTTTTAAAAAGGTTCTGGGATCTGCAGCACTAGTGTTTTTCTCATTATTAGAGATGTAAAAGCCAGTGTTTACAGCTTATATTGTACACATTTTTTTGGTGTTATCTGCAAAATTAAATAGGTACCTGTAGGCTTCTAAGCCTCGGTAAGGTTTATATAGATATCAGTTTTTTAAATGATCTGATGTCTTTTTTTTTCTGATTCCAAAAATACCTTTTTTCCCATTTTATCCCAACAAGTGAGCTGTAAACACCTGAGCTTTAGACAAAACTAATTACAACTTTAGTAGGACAGTTTCCAGCATTAAAAGGAGGTGAAAGACATCAGAGAGCCCAAATTTCGACAGCCCATGTTCTACTGGAGTTTAATTCCATGTATAACTCAGTACGTACTTCTTTCTTGGTGGAGGGATACCGAGTAGTTCTTTTCTCATTCCTTTTTCCTTATATGATCGCATTTGGTTAAATTTGTTGTTTCTTTGTTCTGATACAAGCAGTCTTTGAATTTGGAATATTGTGATGGTAGGTATTCCAACCCAAACCACACTCTGTGTGTAGTGATTCCTCTCCCACATTTTCCCCTCTTACTCATGCCAGTCCCATGTGCTCCATCTCATTTAGAATGTAGACCAGACGTCCATCGTATTTTGTGTATGCACGCAGTCTTGTTTGTGCTTAGTGTCGAGGAAAACACGGATTGAGGGTGGTGTTGTATGTCAAAATACCAGCTAAGGCACCAGAAATGTCTTCAACAGATTGCATATTGTCCCATTCGAGGCATGCTAGTACCGGGTGTTGGGGTCTTAAATACCAGTACCAGTATGTATATTAAACAAGCTTTGAAAGCAGCAGTTGCTTAAAGCAGGAAGAGTTCAGTCCACAAGAGCTGGGTAGCCACTTCACTGGGTCAGGAGGCTCGAGTCTCATGCTAGCCAAAGACTCGAATGCTGTGTTTAATTAGGCTTTATTCTGTGGCTAGTTCACTACACACTATCAGCAGATATCTGTGTAGTCTAGAGATAGAGTATTTGAAGCATGTCAGGTTCTGTATGCCAAGCACTAGAACCGGGGGCACATCATGCTTGTGTCGCTTTCCTAGCTGCTTAAGTAAAGAGCATACTTTTAAAACTACATTTTATGAGCAAGGGGACTTTTCATTCTGTCTGTACGGTGCTTAGGTTACATGTGAAGCATAAGCCCTCTCTTAACTTATGCCAGATTTTGGTCAGAAATCTTTGCAGCAGCACATCAGAGACGACTTCGGTGGTGTAGCTGATAGCTTTAGACTTACTGATATAGAGTCAGCTGCTTTTTTTGTTTGGTGTTTTTTGGTTTGTTTTTTTTTTTTTTTTAAATGCATGGAGGCATTTTATCACTAGGTATTAGAGCATTTCTTTCCTAGCTCTGGTCCTAACCATTATAACACTGCATTTGCTAGCATGGTAGCATTTTGTAGCGCATCTTAGGTAGGTGCTAAAGATGTGCAGTTTGCTACTACAATAGAAACTGAGACATCTTTGCTCACAGCAACTGAATAAACCCTTGTCATCCCCTGTGGCTTTCACTCATGGCAATTGCAGCATCACAGGTTTCCCGATGCTGTCCTGGGGCTAGTTTCAAGGGCAACACGAGCGGGGTCAGGTCTGTTGGTGTTTGCCAGAATGATGTAACAGTTCATGCTTTCAGAGCGACGCACAAGTGAATAATCCTCACTAGTGCTTCTGAGGGGGATATATAGTATTTTTGTTCCCACTTTTAACAGAGCAAAACTGAGGCACAAAGAATTCCTTGGAGGTTTACTTATTCCCCTTCACCAGAGTTGCCTGGTGTTGTTCACTTCTGGGTGAACTTCTGGCTTGCAGGGTTTGGGGTTTTACTGTCTATGCATTCTGTCCCTCCTAACCCTGACACGTACACGACTGCAGATAACGCATGGTGGGAATGGCACAGGCTGGAGAAATGTCCCCCCCTTGAGCCATCATGATTTAAGTAAATGGCTTTTCAGACTAAAAGTGGCCACACTGTTAAAGAGTTTAATGTACAACAGAAGCAGAAGAAGCAATCTGCTCCCTTAATCCTAGTCAAAGGAAAATTACTTCACGTAGCAGACCAGTGGTTTAGTTTTAAGAAGGTTGTTAACTCTGCAGTCAGAAAGTCAGGTAGACCTGGTTTAAGTCTGCTTTGGGAGTCTGCCATTGGAACTCTTCCTTTCAGGCCATAGAACTTAAATAGTATTAAAAAAATCAGTTTGAATTTTTGGCATACTAGATTCAAACTGCCTCCAGTGAAATAATTAACTGCCTTGTAGGTTCAGAGCAATCCAGTTGAATGGCTTCTGGACAACCATCAATGAGGCAGGCAGAGCTTGGGTCTCTGCTTGCAAATTATTTTAATTTGACAAGGGGGGTGAGCCCTGCAGTCTCCAAATTGTGAAAACCCACCTTTCCGCACAGGTATTATCAGTGACCTTGGTGAATCATCACTGTTCTGCTTTGCCACTGGAGCTGTACAGAAGGTCGAAACATGAACTGTGGCCCTGGTAGCATTGCACAGCTGAAGCTAGGAAGTGCTGAGACAGAGGAGAGGGGAGGGGAGAAGGAGCAGTAGAACTTAGCCAAGAGCCAGAGGCTTCCCGTGTTGTTTGTTGATGGTAGAAGAATTAACAGGTTCTGTTTTGAGCCCACCAAATTAATATTTTTCTGTCTTTTAACGTTGCTCTAATAAAGCATGGTTTACAGCCGTCACTTGCTGTCTTCTATCTTTCTTTCTTTCTTTCTTTTTAACATTTAAGTTGCATGGTTGTCTTTAGTTTTTAGCATGTATTGATCTGTGGTTAAAACTCTAATAGCCCTAACCCCTTACCTTGCCATGTGGAACCTGGAGCAGAACCTGAGAGCAGAGCCGGAGTCTCTGGAGGAAGGGATGTCACAGCACTGGTCCCTCACTGAAGCTGGTGGAAAGATGGGGTGCCGGGCTTGCTGCTCCCTTTCTGGCTATGGGAGATGATATCTTTTAACTCCAGGATCAAGCTGGTTAGATCTCCCTTGCAGTCGAGAAACATTTAGCCCCATTGCCTAGACAGCAGTCCCTGGTTTAACCCAAGTCAAACGCAGTTGCCATACATAGGGGAGAACATGGACGACCAGCAGTGGAGCTAGGGCACCTATGTGAGTGGGGAATGTCACCCAGCGATGTTCAGCTGCTGTGCCACGCTCGGGCACTTCCTCTGATGAAGTTGCTGAGCTAGGGTGAGGTATCCACTGGAGGGGGAGAGCAACCGACTCCTTCATGTTGGTGGCGTTGCGCAGCTTAGCTGAGTCTCCAAAGTTTTTGTGGCAGAGCTGCTCTAGACAGACTCTGTCCTGTAACTCGGGCTGTGTAACAGCGGTGGAAAGCGTGCTTGTGAATAGGAGGGCTGGAGAGCCATCATTATTAGTTTCAAGGTGGCCGCTGAACGTCGTTCTGCCAGGTGCTGTCGTTGTTTGCCTCATTATTTCTGTCCTGCTGCTAGAATTGTCTTGCATATACTTGGCAAGAGAGATGGTGTGAAACTGTCATCTGTTTTCATTGCTCCTTTACATTATTAAGTGGACAGAGGGAGGAGAAAAGATCTCTGTCGGGTCACTTATTTATTTGAAGATGAGCGGCTCTTGCAAGACTTTCATATTCCCTGGTGTGAAATAAGCTCCCTGTGCTCCTCACCTGTGTACCTGTTGTCATGCTCTTCACCTACTGAAATTGGATCCCACTCTGGAGTTAACATGGATGGCCTCTCAGAGGAAAATTCCCCAAAATGCAGACGAGCAGCTTCCCAAATCTACCACTCTCCTTTAAAACAAAAAGTAAACCTGAGTCGATTTAAAGCCACAACCTGCAGGCCATACAACCAGTTATTCTTGTTATTTTGGATCATACTCTGTTTATCCTGTTCTTTTCCTGGTTTTTCTTCTGTTTGCTTTGTTTGTTCGTTTTGTTTTTATTTCCCCTCTCTCGTTCTCTCTATTATATATCCTTCCTGTCTGACTCTGACGTTTCTGGATTTGGTGTGGTTCTTAACAGAGGAGAAAGCAATGAGCAGTAGTTTGCAGCCGTCCTTGCCTCCCAAGGGCAGTGCATCGTAAGACACGACAGGTGACGCAGGTGTAGAGATAGCCCCGTTGAGTTGGACAGCGTTATGGGACATCTTGAGATACCATCAACTATCCAGAGCTTTTATTTTATAAGGATTAATTTTATTTCTTTTTTTCCCGGAGGAAAGTCGAGTTTGTAGATTAGCACAGTGGGCTCCAAAAATGTCTTATCTGATTTCCTGATTATTAAAATAGCTAAGGAAAGGAGGCGGCCTGAAGATGAGGGGGACGAAGAGACAATTGGTGAATCCTTTCCAAATCTGTTAGCTGAGGGGAGGTTCCCGAGCGGGCTCGGTGCCGAGGACACCCCGCCAGACCCCCAGGACGGCGCGAGGGGCCGGTGTGCCGCCCGTGCAGAGCCCAGAGTAGCTAACTGACGGCTCTTTGCTTTAGATAACTGTCTCCATCAGCGTCTCTGCCCTTTATTCACAGATAACTCTCTCCCTGTTTCTAGGAGAAAAAAAAAGTGCGTTCGCTACATACAAGGTGAAGGCAGCTGCGTCAGCCCACCCTCTTCAGATGGAAGCTTACTAGACTCTCCTCCGCCCCCCCCCGCCATACTCGCCTCCCCCTCCAGAGACTCGAAACCACAGACTGAACAAACGCAACCCCTCTCGCTCTCATTGAAGCCC